TCAGGGAAGTGTCCTAGGCCCCTCTCTCTTATCTCAATATTACATAAATGACCTACCAAATGCAATGCACACTACTCAAACCCACAACTATTTGCAGATGACACACATACGTCTAGCTCTCACCTGAGCCCAGTCATGTAGCCAATACTGTAATACCGAATTACAGAAAATACTACCTGGATGAGGAACTATAACAAAACTTATCTAAACATGATAAAAACCTATTACATTCAGTTTGGTATAGAGCTACAGATGTCCCTCTTAACATAATGATAAACGATCACCATCACAAAACTCACAGAGGGAAAATTCTTAGGAATCCACCTTGTTAATAGACTTCAAAATTCAAACACATATACAGCAAATTTCCAAGAAAATTTCCAAGACCGAGCATACTATCGAAGATACGGTACTATTTCCACAGTCATCCCCTCCTGGCCCTATATCACTCACTTGTAAACCCCTATCTCAACCTATGGAATTTGGTACATTGGCTCAACAACAATAAACCATCTCAGACCACAATTACCCAACAAAAGGCTGCAGTCAAGAATAACAAATACCACTACAGGCAGCATGCTCCACCAAAATTCAAAACTCTAAACCTACTCACCAACAACACATCCAACTTATTACTGCACCTATTACATACATAGACCACTAAACTCGGATATAAACTCTCCCCTCAACGACTCCTTACCAACCCCAACAGAACACATGACCATAACACAAGGCACAGATCACTCTTTGATGTTTCTCATGTCCATCTCATGCTATGCAAAAACTCAATGCACATAAAAGGCTCCAAAATCTGGAATTCATTACCTGTAAATATAAAAGAAACACTGTCTGTCTATAAATTCAAGTCTCTTCTCAAAAATCACTTACTCACCTACAACCAAATAAATACTGAATAATTGTTGTATCTTAAAAATTGTATCTCATAAATGTTTAACCTGATACCCAATCAAACTTTGTTATTTTTTAATTACATTACCTAACAGAATACTCCATTCTACTGAATGCACAGCAATACAGTAAATGACCATATGACCTGTCTTTGTAATACTCATTTGTGCTTAATTGTTATCTGTTTACAATAATGTTTTACCACTGAATATATCACTGCTTAGTTAATCTTAAGTTAATTTTAAGCCTGCCCATAATGCTCTGCATACAAGGGGCTTTGGCATGTTGCACTTAACTTTATTCATTTGTACTACTCTGTATCATGTTCAAATTAATACATAAATAAATAAATAAATAATCCCTGGTGGTTGCTCTCTACCAACCTACTACCACAGGATGGTTGTACCTCCCTGGGTGGTTGCTGTGTACCAACCTACCACAGGACGGTTGTATGTCCCTGGGTGGATGCTGTCTACCAACCTATTACCACAGGATAGTCGTACCTCCCTTGTGGTTGTTGTCTACCAATCTACTACCACAAGATGATAGTACCTCACTGGGCGATTGTTTTGTTTCTACCAACCATATTACCACAGAACGTAGTACCTCCTTGGTGGTTGTCGTCTTCCAACCTAGTACCACCACGACGGGTAGTAACCTCCCTGGTGGCTAATGGTCTACAACCCTGGTTTGTTGCGTCTACCAACCTACTACACAGACGGTAGTACCTCCCTGATGATTGTTGTTACCAACCTACTATACCAGAGGACGGTAGTACCTTCCCTTGTGGCCGGCTGTTTCCCAACCGACTCCCCCGGGGAATTTGATTGTACCTCCCGGTGTTGCTACCAACAACACCGGATGATATACCCCTGGGGTTGTTGTCTCCCAAAACCTACTACCGGGGATGAGTACCTCCTGGGGTTTTGTTCCCACCCAAACCCAGGATAAAGTCCTCCCGGGTGGTTTTTTCAACCAAACAAAGGGGGGTAGTCCCCTCCTTTGTTGTTGTCCCCAAACTTAAAAAAGGACTTAGTACCTCCTGGTGGTTGTTGTTCCCAACTCTCCAAAGGGATGGTAGATTTTGTGTTTAAAAAAAGTTTTGTATTATGTGGTAATTTGAGCATAAAATTAAAATTAGTGGTGCAATAACAATGAGACATATTATTACAGTAAAGTAGTATAAGAAGTAGTGTTTTAGCGTTTTAAGAAGTATACAAAATATATAGTTTGTAGTAGTTTTTAAATTGTAAAATAGTAAGAGTTTTGTAGTAGTTTTAAAACTGAGTAGCAATAGTATAGTTTTTAAGACAAGTATTTAAAATGTAGTAGTACTTTTAAGGTGTAGTGAAGAGTAGACTTTAGTAAAAATGTATATAAGAATAGAAAGCAGTAAGGCTAGTAAGAGTATGTTAAGAGTAGTAGTAGTAAGTAAAAGTAGAAAAGAAGAAGTAGTTAGTAAGGTGAAGTAGTAGAAAGGGGTAATGTAGTAGAAATTAAAGGGGTTTATAAGAGTGAAGTAGTAGAAATTAGATTAATGTATGTATAGTATATATTAGTAGTGTATAGTATTAGTATATAGTAGTAAGGGAGTTATAGTAAAGTAGTAGTAAAAAGGGTTTGTAGTAGTCATAGTTAGAAAGTGGGAAATAGTGTAGAGTAGGGTGAAAGAGTGAAAGTATAAATAAATTTATAAGAGTGGGGGGGTGGGGGTGGTGGAAGGTAGGGGGAGGACAAAAGGGTACAAACATGGGGAGGAAGGTAAAAGGAGGACAGTAAGGGGGACACAAACACTGCAGGGGAGGAGGTAAGGGGGACAAAAGGGTCCAAAAACACTCGGAGGGGGAGAGGGGGAAAGAAAGGGGCCCAACATGAGAGGAGGGGGGTAGAGGAGGACAGAAAGGGGTCAACACTGCAAGGGGGAGGGTGAGGGGGGAAGAAAAGGGTACACAAAGCAGGAGGGGTGAGGGGACAGTAGGGTCACAAACCCTCAGAGGGGAGGAGAGGGGACAGAAAGGGGTAACAACATGGGGGAAGGGGGTAGAGGGGGACAGAAGGGTACAAAACTGGGGGAGGAGGAAAAGAGGAACAGTGGGGGGTCAAAAAAACGCAAAACAGGGGGTAGAGGAGGACGTAAGGGTCACAAAACATGAAGGGGGGGTGGGAGGACAGTAAGGGTCACAAAACGCAGGGAGGGGGTGGGGAGGCAGAAGGTCAACAAACTGCAGAGGAGGGGAAAAAAAAAAGGGGGGGAAGGGGAACATGGGGGTACACAAACTGGGAGGAGGGGAAAGAGGGGGGAAGTAAGGTCACACAACACTGCGGAGGAGGAGGTAGAGGAGGACAGTAAGGGTCACACAACACTGCGGAGGAGGAGGTAAGGAGGACAGTAAGGGTCACACAACACTGCAGAGGAGGAGGTAGAGGAGGACAGTAAGGGTCACACAACACTGCGGAGAGAGGTAGAGGAGGACAGTAAGGGTCACACAACACTGCGGAGGAGGAGGTAGAGGAGGACAGTAAGGGTCACACAACACTGCAGAGGGAGGAGGTAGAGGAGGACAGTAAGGGTCACACAACACTGGCGGAGGAGGAGGTAGAGGAGGACAGTAAGGGTCACACAACACTGCGGAGGAGGAGGTAGAGGAGGACAGTAAGGGTCACACAACACTGCGGAGGAGGAGGTAGAGGAGGACAGTAAGGGTCACACAACACTGCAGAGCAGGAGGTAGAGGAGGGCAGTAAGGGTCACACAACACATCGGAGCAGGAGGTAGAGGAGGACAGTAAGGGTCACACAACACTGCGGAGGAGGAGGTAGAGGAGGACAGTAAGGGTCACACAACACTGCAGAGGAGGAGGTAGAGGAGGACAGTAAGGGTCACACAACACTGCGGAGGAGGAGGTAGAGGAGGACAGTAAGGGTCACACAACACTGCAGAGGAGGAGGTAGAGGAGGACAGTAAGGGTCACACAACACTGCGGAGGAGGTAGAGGAGGACAGTAAGGGTCACACAACACTGCGGAGGAGGAGGTAGAGGAGGACAGTAAGGGTCACACAACACTGCAGAGGAGGAGGTAGAGGAGGACAGTAAGGGTCACACAACACTGCGGAGGAGGAGGTAGAGGAGGACAGTAAGGGTCACACAACACTGCGGAGGAGGAGGTAGAGGAGGAAAAGTAAGGGTCACACAACACTGTGGAGGAGGAGGTAGAGGAGGACAGTAAGGGTCACACAACACTGCGGAGGAGGAGGTAGAGGAGGACAGTAAGGGTCACACAACACTGCGGAGGAGGAGGTAGAGGAGGACAGTAAGGGTCACACAACACTGTGGAGGAGGAGGTAGAGGAGGACAGTAAGGGTCACACAACACTGCGGAGGAGGAGGTAGAGGAGGACAGTAAGGGTCACACAACACTGCAGAGGAGGAGGTAGAGGAGGACAGTAAGGGTCACATAACACTGCGGAGGAGGAGGTAGAGGAGGACAGTAAGGGTCACACAACACTGCAGAGGAGGAGGTAGAGGAGGACAGTAAGGGTCACACAACACTGCGGAGGAGGAGGTAGAGGAGGACAGTAAGGGTCACACAACATGCAGCAGGAGGAGGAGTAGAGGAGGACAGTAAGGGTCACACAACACTGCAGAGGAGGAGGTAGAGGGACAGTAAGGGTCACACAACACTGCAGAGGAGGAGGTAGAGGAGGACAGTAAGGGTCACACAACACTGCAGAGGAGGAGGTAGAGGAGGACAGTAAGGGTCACACAACACTGCAAAATCAAAAAATAACCAAATGAACAGCAAACTTAAACATTACAACTTGTGTTTATTCTTCTTAGAAGTAAATTTTATTTTTTTTTTTGATATAATGACCATAGAATAAATTCTTTATCAAGGTTTATGACCCCAATACTTTTATACATTTCAAGTTTAGGAAAATCTTTGAAAGCTGAATTTCATGCCCTTTTTTTTTTGTGGTAATATCTTGATGCATCACCTCACTTATTCCTAGTCTTCAGGTGTATCATCTTAATCACTACTTTTTAAAAAAATAGGCATGTCATGAAGATAATGAAATATTTAAATACTGTACCTTTCTACTCAGTTCTGGTATTTTCAGCAATTCTAGAAACATCATAAAAGGACTATTAGGCAATTTAGGCTTTCCAAGTTTTTCCCCTTCAATGTTCTTTCTTCGCCGAATGTATTTCTGTTGCTTCTTGTTTTTAAGTTTCTTTTCCAATTTCTTCATTTTATTAAGATCTTTTGGGTTCATCATTTTCACATAATTTATATACCTAGAGTGAGAGACAGAGAGAGAAAAGTACAATTAATTAAAGAAAACTGATACTAACTGTAATTTATCATTGTCATAAGGAACACATTCATTGAAATCCCAGAAATTAACTTCAAAATGTGCATATACCTAGCTGCTACACTTCTGCATTGTCTTAACCATGGGGGAGGGAAGGGGGAGGGAATGTCTGTATGACTCTTAGATCCTGACCTTGTGCGATGAGAATAAATCGCTGGTGAGTGGAAAAGATTATTTTTTTCATTACCGAATGCATTTCAAATGCCTGATAACGTGTTTACACCATCACATAGAGCTGGGAATAAACAAAATAGATAAAAAAGTAAAATATTTGCCTTAAAATATGCCGCCAGTCGCTCTTCCCTTACACAACTGTTGTGGGGAAAAGTGGTAAGAGCACCAGACATAATGAACAATGGTTCAACTGAAAGCCAATAAAAACGTGAAACACTGAAAAAGATGGTGCTGAGTACACTGGGCCCTACTGTACTGTAAGCCCTAGATGTTTTTAACCCCTTAACTCTCCAAACGTTGATCTACGTTTCCACTACTAGCACTATTAATATTAAAAAAAAATTTTTATTAAACAAAAAGGGCAATTTTCTGCGTGTAATATAAAAAAAAATTAGCACCAGTACTTATCAAGATATAATGCAGCGAACTTGACACTGGATGCTTGCCTGACGTCAACGTGAAGACCTGCTGCTCCCAGAAATGTTGCCAATATACTTTTCTCTTGTTTTAATTTACATAATCTTTGTTCTGATACCTGGGGTATACCTGGAAAGGGTTTTGGGGATCAATGCCCCTGCAACCCATTCTGTGACCAGGACTCTTGGTGAATTAACCCCTTGAGTGTTTCGGTCGTATATATACGTCTTACGAGATACCCTGTTTGACATATCTATATGCATAAATTCTAGCGGCTTCAAATCAAGTGGGAGAGGGCTGGTAGGCCTACATGAGAGAGAATGGGTCTGAGTGATGGGTGTGCACCCTGTGAAAAAAATCTGGGACTCAGTGGTGCACTGTGGGAATGCCATCTTGGTAGTCCATTTTCACTATGCCTCGTGGTAAGAAGTACCTCACTCCTCGGCGGATTGGAGGTTTTTTGTTCCCAAGTGATAGCTCTAACAGCGATGAAAGTGTCAGTGAAAGTGAATTCCCTGGTTTTCAAGTGGGTGTGACCGACAACAGTGCCCAGGATAACGTAATTAGTGATGAAAACCCAGATGACTCACAACCTTCCACCTCTGGTGCTGGGCCGGCTCGTTCATTTTCACCTGTACCAGGATGAAAGAGGAAACTATTTGCCCGTGTACAAGACTCAGATGTGAGCAGTGAAAGTGATAGTAATTTCAAAGCTATTGAAAGCAGTTCTAGTTGCGACAGTGAGGGTGAATATTCCCCAGTGAAGCGGCAGTATATACGACATCGCTTGTGGTCTGGTAGTGTGCCATATGCTGTTCCAAGGGGAAGGAGTAAATCTCGGAGCATATCCCGTGGCCCTACACCATGACCTGATAGTGAAGATGACGATATTGTTACAATGGGTATGAATGATGTGAGGCAGCAGGCAGTGGTGGTGATAGTGATGGTGGCATGAGTCATGCGGCACCAGCAGTGGGTCATGCTACTACCGATGCTACTGACTCTGCACAACTACAACCAGCCTCACCCAACCCCACACTCCCACAACAACCACAACCACAACCACGTTTCAATATCCAGAACCCACCAGTTGACCGCATCTGGGATTGCCAGCAAGGTGACGAGTTTGTTCCCAGTCCCCATGACTTTGATGAAACACAAAGTGGAATATGGCCATCATGTACACTTGGGAACAATGCCACTGAACTGGAATGCTTTCAGTTGTTCTTCCATGAACCCCTGATGGACATTATTGTCCATCAGGCCTGGTTAAAATAAGTTCTGTAATAATATATCGCAAACCACTTTATTACTAGCTAGATAAAGCAGGTTTGACTATATATTATGAATCATCAAAAGTACTCTCATTGTATTATATTGTATTATATTATTATTAGGTTAGGTATTACGAATGTGTAACCACTACTGTAGTGACCAATTGGTGGTTCTAGAATTGATGCCACGTGTCGCCTTCTGGCCGAGCTGAAGTCATACTATGGAGTAGTTGAGTGAGTCAGTCAGCTCCTAGCTCTGACTCGGTACGGGTCTTCAACCCAAAGCTCCTAGCTTAAACTAAAACTTTAAACCTAGTCTATTGTCTTGCCTTTGCCTTTAGTTTCCTGAAGTCTGGTAATTCATGTCACTTATGAAAGATAACTATTTCATTACCTCAGACCTTTCTAAAAGAGTTAAATGGTGAGATTAGTAGATTATTAATTGAAATTATTGTATCATACTCTGTTAATGAGAATTTGAAACGTAAGACTTGGGTTTCTTGCTGTATAGATATTTCATTTATAATTGCTTGTGGTTATTTTAATTCACTAACCAAATACCAATGAAACTAAATGATTGGTAATAAAATAAAACTAACAAAAAAAATTGGAGTTATTTGTGCCCCTATTGTTACGGTGAAGATTAAGTCGTAACAAATGGGGGCCTGTCCGGGAGCTACTTACCCTGAAGTACATATTTGTTTTGCATTAAAATTAAGCTCCCTTGCGAGAATTAAGAAAATGGATCCAGAAATTTAGTCATTAATAGATGAATTAACAGAGGCTACTATTGACACTTTAAAATTACAGACGTGTTGGCAAATAGCTAGACAGTTAGATATACCTTATTAAAGATACCATAGCGCAGAGACTCTTAGGTCCCTAATTAAGGATAGATTATTTCCGAAATCCCAAGCAATGCCAGAATTAGATTCGGAAGATAGTTTTATTTCTCAGTTCGAGAAGCAGAAATCCCACAGATGGGAACTGCCTTAAATAATGAAGTTGAACCAGGGTTTACAAGGCCTTACTACTCAGTCCAGTCTCAAAGCTCTCCCCCATTCATTTCCCCAGAGTATGTATTGGTGGTTGGAACGAACCTTCAGTCAAGTGACGGGATAATTTTAGGAGTGTGCTCGTCCAAAATACTTCCGAGAAGACGCCCGAATTCCCCTCGGTGTCATTACCTCTTGGGAATTTCACGTCCGATGACAACTAGAGAGAATAGAACGCATATATACTATTACAAAACTCTCAAAATCGAGCTAGAAGATATCTAAACGAGGAAGAATTTAGGCATGAAAGGTTTCATTTTGAAACAAAGCAGAAGGGAGTTCCGGAAGAAAGAGATGTGAAGAGCACTGTAACCGGGTTTGACTTACATAAAGCAGCTCTGATGGTACCTAAGTTTAACGAAACAGACTTAGATGAATTCTTTGAAATTTTTGAGAATCAGGCACGTTCAATGGCTGGCCCAAAGACAAATGGGCCACATTGCTGCACACGTCTCTATATGGAAAGGCGCAGTCTTGTGTCACCTCCTTACCATATGAGTTTTATGTCCAGTACGACGTAGTAAAGAGAACTATTTTAGAAGCATATGACATGCTCCCTATTAGTTACCAAATAGCTTTTCATTCCATGAAACAGCAAACAGGACAAACTTATTTAGATTTTGCCCGAGGGAAAGCAGTGGCGTTTGAACGTTGGTGTCGAGCTTCTAGGGTCACGACTTTAAAAGATCTATCACAATTAATGTTACTAGAAGATTTGTATGCAAATTTTCCAGAGGAGTTCGCCAGTATCTTGTTGGCCATCCGCAAACGACGTGTTAGAGACTGCCGTGCTGGCGATCAACTTTGAGATTTCCCAGAGGTTGGTACACTCTGAAAGCAGCCAGGTTATCAAACCACAACGAGACCCGAACCTGCGAGCCTTTCGGTAGGCGACCTACCCAACCCTTCCAGCCTCCCGTGTAACAAGTAAACCCGAAGTATAACACCAAATTCAATCGAGCCCATCCTATAGACCAGATAGGTCATGGGAAAAAATTAAATGTTCGTACTGTTCGAAGCTGGAACATTTCAAATCACAATGCTTAAAGCGTGATAGGGACCGAGGGAAGGAGTCCGTCCTATAGATTGCCCACACAAATCATATCCTCTACGACTCATCCAAGGAAGTCCGAGCCAAGAGTAGACGCTCTGTCCCAAGGAAAGGAACAGATCCTCCTAGTTGACTAAGCAGAATATGGGTATCATCGTCAAACTTGTCAAGAGCTATGAAGTCCTTACTTTTCCAAAAGCAAAGTAGGAATTACTGATAGCCAGTTGTTGCAAGTAAATTCCTTTAGGGATACGGGGTCCTACTTAACATTGTTAAGAGAAGGACTGTTATCATTCCCCCGCCGGATCATATACGGGTTTCAACGCTCTGTTGGAAGCTTATGGTGGCTCCACTATGCGAGTACCCCTGTACAAGTTATATGTCAAACTCCTATCTTTACAGGCTGGACGTCAATCGAGTGTCTCCAACTAACTTCCCCATAAAAGACGTAGACCTATGATTGGGAATGACTTAGCGGAAGAAGGAATATGGAAAGAGCCCATAGTTATGGAAAATCCAACCGAGGAAAATTACGTCATCGAAGCACGATGAACGGAACCTACCCTCTTTCCTCTAAGCGTAGTAACCCAGGCAATGACCAAACATTCGCATTCTCCGTTGGTATCGGAGGAAGTCAAGACGACGTCGATGTAGGAGTAGGAGACATATTCAACGAAAGCTCGAGTTTCGAGCCAACAGTCCACCCGGAACCGATACCAGTTCCTAAGTCGGTGGTTTCTGAAATAGATTTATTCTCGAAGGAGGATCTAGTAAGAGAACTCCAAATAGACCCCTCCTTAAGTGACATCAGGAAGCTTGCTGTGTCGGGAGAAGAAGCCCTTAAAAGTGACAGCTCTTACTATTGGGAGAAGGACTTACTGAAAAAGAAACTAGGATCTCTAAAAGTGATCATCTAGTGGTCATGCCTACCCTGTGTTTAGAAATTTAGCAT